GTGGCTTTGTTCAGAATTGCGCCAGCCTTCTGGAGGTGAAAGAAGAGGGTACAGATGTGCGATAAATGTATGAACAACATACTATGTCATATAAAGGAAATGACCTTAAGAGAATGAGTGAACGGCACTACCTACAGATGTCACCGGCTATATTTTCCCATGGCTGTAGGCACTTGCATAGTAAGAAACACAGTGACACCCTCTGTGTCCTTGCTCTTCCTCTTTTCCAGGCAAGAGATGCCTAAAAGATTTCCACTCCCTTATGAACACTGAGTATTTATTCACACTTTTGCAAATGCAGAGGGCTAACTGGTAATAATTTTATACTAGCTCTCCTCAGGTTCAGACAGTTATATAAATGAAATTCAAGAGAAATACCAAAAAATTATTTCCTAAAAAACATTAATCTTTTGGTCTATTTTTTAAATGAAATACTAGATTTAGAATTACTTACAATGCCTAATTATAAAAAGTCATGTGCTTAATTGAATTTGTTTTCAGTTTCTGTTCATGCATTCCTTAATGAGTCTATGAAGCTCCCTAATGCTACCATAATATAGTGTTTCAAACTTAGTCCCCAAGTCACAATGATCATAGGTGACCTGTACCCATAACATTAGAAGTGATAGGTCTTATACCATAAAAACCCAGTAATTTCTGCTATCCATAGATTTCAAAATTGATGGGTTTGTCATCTGAGAAAAATGTATGCTTTGCTTTTAGCAAAAACCCCAGAACTGGTTGGATTTTCAGTACTTCTGTGGTGCTGTGAGCTGTAGTTGCTAAGATCTTAATTCTTAATTTAAATCCTATTATAGAGAAAAACCACCATGCATAATTATTTTTTTTTTTACAATTCATTACTGCATAAATAGATTAAAGGAATTTTAAATCTTCTGGTATTAAAAATCTAATGATAAAAATCTATAAATTATTATCATAGTGTAAAAGGAGGAATTTATAATTTTTACGGTAAATGACATAAGCATACTTAATCATAGATGTGGATATTCAGATCAGAAAAATGTTACATATATATCATTAAAAGCTGTGAAAGCAGTATTTTAAACACAATATTATGAGCATTTTATTTCTAAAAATGATGCTGATATTAAAAGTATGTAAAACCATGCATCACTTTATAGCTACACTGCAAAATTATGGGCATCTGCTCTAACTAGAAATCTCGTCTTAGTTCCTTTTTGCTTTCTGTATTGACATTTGTTTATGGTTGAAGAAATAACTCGCTCTAGTATTGTGTTTGCTAAGAGGCTCTTAACTTAAAGTTGCCTTCCCTGATACTGATGCTACTCGATAGCCTGGAAATTGCACTCAGGTTCCAATTACTAAATCTATTTCATACTGGAATAGAAAAGTGAACTACTTGCTGCAACATGAGGTGTTTATCGACTAACTGAGCCTTTGCATTATACAACTGAAGGTACACAGCTAGAGCTTTATTGCCACTAATAAATAACCTCTGTGAACAATGATTTCATTAAACCTCATTCTGTATCTTTGTGCTCAGTGAAAATGGTGGAGTAATGGTAAGGGTAACAGTGATGGTATCAAAGAAAATTTGGACTTGAGATACAATGGAAAGCTTTTCCTTTTATACCCTCTCAATGCCAGCAGCCTTTCTTCAGTGTTGTCCAGGGTACTTTAACTGATGTTCTTCTAAGAACAGATTTCCAGCCATTATGAACCTCACATTTCAGCCTTCTTCAGTTAAAATTATCCAGTAGTTCTAATCGCAGTACTAAGTAAAACAGGGCAGGAAAGACAGCACTGTTAGCACAATCACTGCAGACAGGCCAGGGCACTCAGTAACCCTTCACAGATGGCCTTTAATGCAATAGAGGTCACAATTTAGTTTTTTAGATTAGATTAACACTTGAATGCATCTCATCTGCCTGAAAAAAGAGGCAGGCAAGTGAGACACCACAAAGCTGGCAAAGGATGAAAAAGACAGACAAATAGAAGAATAAAACTCTGCAGTTTCAAATTACATCATTTTCTTTTGCCACAAGAACTTAAGTATCCCACAACCACAAGGTTATTTTCCTCCCACAACTTCATCCCTCATTTCCTATCATAAACATGCAATGACTTTGTCAATACTTTTGACTTGGGCCCTGATCTTGCACACTTGCATATACATTTAAGTTTACTCACATGAGTAGCACCATTGGCTGCAATGAAAGAACTCGCCACACATGTAAATCTTTTAAGACTGCTGGCTTCATTTTGTTAAGGTGAAGCAGGATGCTAAAAAAACTTTGTTCCTGAAAGTTTAACAAGGAACGTTACGTGGCAGGAAGAAGAAAAGAACCAAGCATTTCACAGATTCCTTAAAATAAGCTGAAATTAATTTTTAAAAGATGCATTGAAAATGCTAACAGAAACAATCTTTGCTCTGCTCTATCTCTTCATAGTGCAAACACAAGTTGTCCACATTCTGAAATAGAGAATTGCAGAAAATTAAAATTAATAATTTCAAACTAACACATTCTTCTCTGTCATATACTGTGCCAAATGGTGCATTATCAGATTTCTGATATGCTGCTTTGAATGATTCATGGAACACTTAACATTACAATATCTCGCCGATATATATCCTGCTGGGATTTATTGACACTATAACATTTCTAAAACTAAATAAACTAATGTTATACACATATGATGTCCTGAATTCACAGATCTCAGTATTGCAATACATTTGGAAAAACACAGACTTGCAACACCTGGTATCACATGGGATATATGATTCTAACACGACATTAAATTCTGGTTCTGTCTATACATAACCTTTTTCCAAATGGGAACATGTATATACTGAAAAATTAGTTATGCACTAGAAAACCTACAGCCATTTCAGAGTACTGCTTTATGGCTCTGGAAGATTTGTGAAATGGCATTTCTATTGTTTTGAGGTGTACCAATTCAGGACAAAAGTTTGATGCCACTAACACTAACAGATCTCTCCTAGCTCTAATAAGGTGTTTTGTGGTTTTTCATTTTTTTAAATGTGTATATAATAAAGTTTTCTTAAATATATTAGCCTAATACCACTCTGTGAGAATTTTCTACAGATGGGAGCAACAAGAAATAAAATCACTGGATGTCAACAGTGGAAGCACTCTCCTAAATCTGTGACAGAACTACATGACTCTCTTTCCTCTCAACCTCCTCTGCTTTTCACAATCTTTCAGAATCATCTTTCTCAAGTACAAGCCCAAGTCAGAATTCAGTTTATATTGTCTTAAACCATTTGACAGAAAGTCTCCCCTCAAAAGGCAGACAATTATATGCTCATAATTCATGAACAGAATTATCCACTAATCCTAAGTAACACTGTTCTTCATGATTTTCACTTGAAAATTAAGTATATAAAGCACTGGAAAAGCAAATTTAAAATGAAAAAAATGGAACAATTCTTCTTCTACTTAGAACAACACAATGTATTACCAAAGTATTACTTAGCTGTGACTAAATCACTTAAAGTATTTAAAACTAAAGAGTTTTTGATTACCGCAATGTTTGGGATGAGCTATTAGGTTATAAATAAATAAACACTAAAGCTATATGTTGCACATGATAGACCCAACTACAGAAGACATCATTATCGATTGGTTTTCCTCTTTTAAAAGAGTGTGTGAGTTCAATCCCAGTGGCTATATAAAAGTAGTCTTTGAGTTCAGTAGGAGATTTTCTCTATGAAAAATAGTAAACAGGGTATTAGCAGCCTCCAGGACTCCAAGGAATGGAGCAGTTTCAACTTCCACTTTAGTCAATGGAAATTATGGCTAAAGAGATGACAGTAAACGGCATGCAGAATCAGTTTTAAAAGTTGCTGCAAACAACCACCACCTATTTTCTTACCAGAGACAATCAGTAGGATTCATCTCATGAGCAATACACTTCAGCAGTAGCAAGTATTCGCAGAAATGTTTCCAATTAATTCAATTTAAGTTGTCATAAAATTGAAAAATAAAACACATCAAAATCTGCATGAGAATCAATGAACATTTGAAGATGGTGTCAACTTGCACACATGACCTTTCCACCATTACAGTGCTTAATAGTATAATGTATTTTGCAACTACTGAATTAAAATTTATATTGCACTGAAATAAATGCTTTGCAAAAAGGCAGTTACAAATTGCTTTGGTCCATTTGTAGCTTAATTTACCACTAAAACACTGAAAAATTATCAGGAGACCTGATAAAAGTTTGAATTTGATTGTTAAAAAGAATGTGTATTCACTTACAACTACATTTTCTTTGTCTATGGTATTATCACTTGAAAGAATATGCTTAATAATAATAAATAAATGCTTTATTCAATTAAATTGATGTAATCTTATCTTTACTCTGTTAAAATGAACTTTGAAGAGTTTGATCCTGTCGGTCCTATTTCCTAGTGATCTGTAGAGCCTTTTACATTTTATGACAATTTGAACATGTTACAATCAAACCATCCAAAAACTAACAGAAATTAAGAAAACAGACAGTCTGGCTAACCAATAAGATTCCAAGTTTGACATGGTATATGAGCTCCATTGTCTAACTGAGAATATTACTTGAAAATTAAAAAATCTTTCCTGAAAACTGTAGAACAAAGAGGAAATGTTAGTAGAAATAACAAGAAAATAGAAAGAAAACCAACAAATGATTGTATTCAAAATAATAGTCATTTTCAAAAGGTGTTGCCTCTTCACTCTATTGTTTTTTGTATTTCAGCATTTCTATCATTCTAAGTTTCTTAGAGAAATATGGTTCTTCATCTTGATAAACCTCCAATAAAACAAAAATATGATCTCCTTTGCTAGAACAAAGGAAAATAATACAGTCTATACAGCTGGTGGTACTACATAGCCTGTCAATGTCATATTACACTGATTCGTTCTTCTTAAACAGACGCACTGAGTTTCTGAAAAAGTGTCAGAATATGGAAAGTTCTGAGGTGGTTTCTATTCTTTTTGTTAATGATGTAATATTTACAACAACAAACAAACGCCTGACTTAGCTTCACCTCCATTTGCGTATCCCCCGGAATCTACTCTGTTAGGATCATTCAGTTCTTCAAACAGTCCTGTTTCAATAATTTCTTCCTGCCAGGGTATAGGGACAGCACCTGTTGCAAACTTTTTGAAGAACTTCTTATCTTTGTCATCAAACTCAATTCCTCGTATTTCAGAGAAGTCAGCAATGTCTGCAATATCTTTGGCATAGACAACTGATGGATCTGGCACAAATGGAGGGTCGATAAGGTTTGCCTCTAGCCTGTGGAAATTTATTGCTTTGAAGAAATTATGTTTTCTTGGGTCATCATCTTCATTTCTGCAATAAAGCAAAAGTTTGTTAATCAGTATGATGTTTTGCTCTCAGGTGTGTCTGTGTTGTATACATGAGAGTATTTTAAAGGAAGGAAATAGATATACACACACACAATGCAATGCAATTCCTTTTTTCATAACCAAAGAATGCCGCATTGCACAATGTAAGCAAAGCTGAGAAGCAGAAAACATCCTGATCCCTCTACCTCTCAGGGTAAATTAGTCCGGGCAAGGTGCCATGCAAGAGTTTCAGTGCTGCTTCTGGCAGCACACTGATACACCCACATCACAGAATCATAGAATAGTTTGGGTTAGAAGGGACCTTAAAGATCACCTAGTTCCAACCCCCCCTGCTGCAGGCAGGGACACCCTCCACCAGACCACATTGCCCAAAGCCTCATCCAACCTGGCCTTAAACACTTCCAGGGATGGGGCCTCCACAGCTTCTCTGGGCAACCTGTTCCAGTGTCTCACCACCCTCATAGTGAAGAATTTCTTCCTAATATCTAATCTAACCCCACCATCCTCCAGCTTAAGGCCATTACCCCTTGTCCTATCACTCCATACCCTTGTAAACAGTCCCTCTCCAGCTTTCTTGTAGGCCCTTTCAAGTACTGGAAGGCTGTATATCCAAAGATACACCTTAACCAGAACTGAAGATATAGCAGGACAAGGAGGAGGAGTGTTGGATTTACTGTCCAACAATGGAATACCAATGGTTGGCTCTATATTAACTAGGACAAGAATGTCTATTAAACTCTAGACTGGGGTACACTGGGTTAACATATCTGAGGAGTGACTCTGAGGAACAGTAGTCTGAATAGGAAACTGGTGACAAATTACATTTCTGGTTTTATCTTAATTCAAAGCTATGTATTTACATGATAAAAGTTATGTTGGCCTAATACACTCCCAGTTTTAGTAAGTCTGTTCATTCAGATGAACTACTCTTACGAATGAACGAATACTTAAAGCAAGAGATTCAAAAATTATGACATTAGCAAAAGTATGTGTGCCACTGTCACAAACACAATCCTTTATTAATATTGTTAAAACCCAAGAATAAAATCCAGGAAGGACTAAAATCGTTGTAAATACTTATTTTGAATACATCTTAAGAAAAACTACTGCAGACCTCAGGGACAACTTTTGCTGTAAAAGAAACAATGAATTGTTTCATTGCAGACCCATGGAGAGACTTGTAGGCTATTCTGATTATAAGAATAATCTAAGTCTCGAATGTGTGCTCACTAAAGCACGACCAAGGACCACAACTTTTGAACTGTGCCTCTAGCGTCAAGGTATGCAAAGTCTGAGTTTTGAATTCTAGCAAAAGGAGGAGCAGATAGGACCACTGTATTTTCTACACCTATGCATTCTTTTTTTACGTATTTATGGATGCACTGGTCTTGGTAACGGTAACATAGGAAAAACAAATTTGTCTGGTTTTTGGTCTCAGAAAATGGTAGTTGCTAACATGTTGCTTTTTCTTTTCCCACTTCCTTACAATATCATATACAGAGCAAAGTGTGAGCCCTCATGTATTTCTAGACAGTGCTCTACGAACAAAATGCAATGCAAACCTTTGACAAGTCTTTTTATCTTTGCAAATGTGTAGAAGCACCATATAGAAGTAGCAGATTTGTGTGACTATAGAAAAACATCTTTTTTTCAAGACCTTACATCATGTATGCAGAACAGCTTCTCCAGCTTGTCGCTACTGCCAGTTCCTCATATGCTGTCCTGCCATGCTTCTAGCCTGCCTTGGTGCTATCCAAGCACACCTGAGATGAAACTACCAGTTGCCCTTTCCAGCTCCCTTGATAGAAAATTGGCATTTTGTGCCTCTGCTGCCTGGTTCTTCTGAGCAGGTCACCACCAGCCACTAACCACTGTACACCACCTTGACCAGGATGCTAAATTAGAGCCTGAAGAACAATAGATGCTGCCATCCAGGCTCCCTGGGCAATGAAAAAAATGATGTTTTCAACCCAAGAGAAATGTATGAACAGAATTATGAATATATAGATTAATCCAACAAGGATCGTGACCTCTGCATATACATAGGCTTGCAAAGTCATCTCCTAACTTAACTAGCTAGTGATAACCAAGTACCCGAGCAGCCCTCAAGCCTGATGTGATTTATTTACATTCATTGTTAGCTTGAAGTGCATTAGAGTTGCTGTTCAAATTAACCAGTGTCCTGGGACATTAGTTGGCTAGTAGTGCCGACAATCCTGCTGGGTAGATGCACTCACAAAAATTTAATTTGATTTTGCTTTTCCTTTCTGTAACATAAATCAAAAAGCACTAGAAGCTGGTGAAAGGATCCAGAATGAATTGCTGCAGTGTTTCTCCTCCTGATGCATTTTCTGATGCCACTAAAACCATTAAAATTTTAGAAAAATAAAGCTACAGGAACGCCATCTACTGGAACTGACTGAGGCATCTTCCAACTAGCTGGAGATGAACTTGAGCTCTTCCTGTATGAACTGCACGTTTACATAACTTAAACAGAAAGAGCAAATGAACTCTTCTAAACTGTCAATTTTTTATTCCTCCATTAAAAAAAAATTTAAAAAAATCACTTTACAGATTTGGGATTTGAGATGTCTATCCCAAAAAGCTTCCATAGAAGAAAAGGGTTACGCTGTTCCTGAGTTAGCCAGTGACATTGAGTCTTCAATAAGAGTGGAGTATTTTTAAAGGTCAGGTGTACAAAGTAAAGCTGTCCTTGAACAGCTTTAACTTATGCAACAAGCACTTATGTAGATAACCCAAGGTCTTGTTGTCCTTAGTAGAATTACAGTGCTAATCTTTACATAAGGATGAGCTGTCCTGAATAGTATCGCCCTGTTTAAGAGGTACATGTAGGCTTTTATTCTGTATCATGCCCAGCCATGGCACATATCCTATCATTTTCCTTCTCTAAGTACGGCACATAAAAGTAAGAATATCTTAAATAGCAGAAAATTAAAAAGAATCTGTGCAATTACCTTTCTGTGTGCATTTCTCCCATTGCTGAGAAATAATGTAACAGTAAGCAGACAGAACAATTGTAAATGATTCCCTTGGCACAAGGAATGTGGTTACAGTAAGTGAATAGTTTGCTGCTGGTTTTGCCTCAGACTTGCTGAATGAACTTGACCAAGTCACTCAAAATCTCTAAATTTCATTTTCCCCTACTGTGAAATTTGTTTACTTCACAAAATGGTGTAAGACTAAATGTCTGCAAAGCGTGCTGACTTGTACTGTAGAATGCTCTAAATGTTTTTGTATTAAATTCATTTTTTAAATAAGCTTTAAAAATATATTAAAAATAAGTTTTGCACCAAACATATTCTATGTGCTGTTGAAATTATTTTTTTTCCTCTGAAGCCTTGCAGAGTTGTTGGGAAAACTCAACAGACACAAAGAGTAGTTGTCTTCATTTAGCACTGGAATAGTAAGAATATGTATATTAATGGTATATTACCTTTCACTAAAGTTAATTCTTTCAGGTAAATGTGTGACTAACATTTTGCAAAACTGTTCCACCTTTTTATGAAATATAAATTTAGAGACTATTTTCATTAAATCCCAGGGTCTACTCCACCTTTAGACTGGAAAAGCACCTGATATATATATTTGTATTCATAGGTGATTCATATCATGGTGTATTCTAAGACAGGTACTATCAGTTTTCTATTCTTTTTTTTTAATATTTTTATTATACTTTTATTTTGTCTGTATTGCAAATGTAGATCCCCAATAAATTTAGAGACTATTTTCATTAAATCCCAGGGTCTACTCCACCTTTAGACTGGAAAAGCACCTGATATATATATTTGTATTCATAGGTGATTCATATCATGGTGTATTCTAAGACAGGTACTATCAGTTTTCTATTCTTTTTTTTTAATATTTTTATTATACTTTTATTTTGTCTGTATTGCAAATGTAGATCCCCAATCTGTCTCATTAGAAATGCACTAAATGATTTTTATATATATATATACACACACACACACATACACATATACACACACACAAAGATACCAGAGGGATCAGAGATATTACAAGTTAAATATTACAACGTTTAGTTTTCCAATTTTCTTCTTATTGAACAGTTACTTGAAATTGCTAAGTCAGGGACACATCCATCAATCTTCGTCAACCCAAAGCCACCTCTGAAGTCTCAAAAAGTCTTTTGCTTTATAAGAATTTGTGCCCAATATTCTTTTCGTCCCTTTTCTCCCTGGGATGAGTCAGGAAGACCAGAACCTCTACAAGATTTTTTTTAAAGCACTTGAGTAAAGCAGAGGGGTTACGGTCTCTTCAGTAAGAAGCCAATGATGCAGCCTTGCAAGTTAGATATCAAGAAGAGAATCTACATTGCAGATTTGGATTTTTGCCCACGTCATTCCAGTAAGTGATACAGCCTAAGATTCTGCATTCGGTCTGCAGTAGCATAGATGCAGGTATCTAATTGAATATCCATTACCTTTAGAAAAGAAAGCGCAAAAGAAACGGGCTGCTCCCTTCTCCCAAAATTATATAGAGTCTAACCCCACAAAATACCAAGAAGGGAACTCCTATGAGTAGTCTGGGGTGAGGATGGACGATCACACTATTGCAACAAAATCCCTTATTTCTATTTTCTCTTCAAAACTTTCTACCTCTCTCTTCCTAGAGGTGAAAGGGAAAATTCAGTACCCTGTAGAAAGTCAAGATCTAACCTCATTTTGTGTAATATGTAAAATAATAATATTGTTTGCAGCTTTAATCTGGCTTTTACTGAGTTTGAGAAGTAAGGCATACCTGCTTCCTAAACGATTCTCTGTTTTCTTAGCCAAAAACAGTCGGCAAATATCTTTCACTTCCTCTGTAAAGTTGGCATGTTCAAATTTCACCTCATCTTCCAGAGTTCTTCTTTTAACCTCATCCTTACCGACCTTTTCTTTGAAATCCTTGAATGGTGTTCGCCCAGCAACCATCTCATAAATACTGCACCCCATAGCAAACCAGTCCACAGGATAGCTGTAATTTTCTTCCTTCAGGATTTCCGGAGCCATGTAACCATTTGTCCCAGCCTATTGCAAACATACAGACAGATTTACCATACAATGTCAGTAATGAAATGCATACAATTAAACAGACTAGACTTCCAAAATATTAGTAATATTTTGTATCTAGAAACTCATTTTTTTATCTAGAAACTCTGAGGTATAACTCTGTTTTAGCACATGGACTATATCTGTCTTTAAACATCTTAGCATATGGGAAAACTGTCTTAAATATGATCTTCAAATGTGAAATGTCATTGCAATTCCTACCTAAAAATGATTTCTTTTTCAATTAATGTTTAGCTAACTTTCTTCTTCCATATTCATTTTTTTCTTGTTGAAGATAGTGTTGTTAGCTTTGTCCTGTAAACACAACCAGCAATCAATTTGAAAAGATTAAAAAAAGACAAAAATCAGATAAACAATCACTGGAGTCTGCTGCCACTGAGAAAATTCTCATCAAGCCAGTAGCTGAGCTGCATGAGGAAGTTCTCACCTGCGCTCCCTGTTGGTTTCTGGAAGGAAGTACTACCATCAAGGGCAAAGAAAAACTCTTAAAACATTCTAAGAAAGTAAACCTATGAAAATTATAATTAGTAAATTACATGAATTCAGGTGAAAGAACAAGGTCATATTTCCAAACTGAAAAAAATCTCTGAATAAAGACTGCTACTATATACAGCACTAATAGACCCTTCTCCAAGAGAAGACATGACTGCTTTTTGAGAGGGGAATCTGCCTGCTTCCTTCCCAGACCAGGCCTGGCACGTTCCCTTTGGGGCACTGACTGCACCACGCTCAAAACAGCTCCTGCTGCTGCTCTCTCTAGGGAGCTGATTCAACTGGGAGGGAAGAGAAGAGGACAGCCTATCTATATGCTTTCTGCTGCACTGTTACATGACTGAGGACATGAGATTTCAACTGAAACAGCACTCCCTCAGCTGACCCAACATTTCCTGCCACATCTGATGCTGTATCTTATTTTATATATTTACCAGATTCAGCTAACAGTGATAACTATGTCAGAAGTTGCTTGAACTTCTTTTATATCTTTTTGAAATACTGGGACTGATGTATTAGTAGTATTACAATTTAAAATGAAAAATTATGTTTGTGCAAAATCCCACTAAAAGTTATTCAAGACTGTAATCATCACTGCCACCAGAACACAAATAGTAACAGAAACAGTTAGAAAAAGGTAACTAAGACTAGAGCTCATGTGGGCAAGTTATATTTGTAAAAAGTACAGCTCAACAGATGAATTTTATTTTATAGAGTTTGGGTAACTCCTCTAATTTTTGCAATTTTAGACACAGTATTTCTGAATCAGGTCTCCCCATAAACTTTAGCTCATGCTACACATGCATACACTCTACTGTAAACAATGTCTGCAAGAGGGAACATAGAATGGTTTGGGTTGGAAGGGACCTTAAAGATCATCTAGTTCAACCCCCCCTGCCATGGGCGGGGCCCCCCTCCACTAGACCACGTTGCCCAAAGCCTCATCCCACCTGGCCTTGAACACTTCCAGGGATGGGGCCTCCACACCCTCTCTGGGCAACCTGTTCCAGTGCCTCTCCACTCTCACAGTAAAGAATTTCTTTCTAACACCTAATCTAAATTGACCCTCCTTCAGCTTAAACCCATTCCCCCTTGTCCTGTCACTACACTCCCTGATAAACAGTCCCTCACCAGCTTTCCTGTAGGCCCCCTTCAGGTACTGGAAAGCCACAAGGAGATCTCCCTGGAGCTGCCTTTTCTCCAGGCTGAACAATCCCAACTCTCTCAGCCTGTCCTCATAGGAGAGGTGCTCCATCCCCCTGATCAGCTTCGTGGCCTCCTCTGGACTCTGAGCATCAATTACATCATGACCCTAATGGACAGAAAATTAAATCCAGTTTGTTTTCCCTCTTTGTATATTTTTTTACTTTTAGGGATATAGAGCAAAATCCTCAATTTGGTTGAAAAACAAATGAGATGAGAACAAAAACATGAGACAAGTTGAAAGCAGAAGAGAAGGGTAAAAGCAAACTGTTGCCTCCCTCACTAAAACCACAAAAGTACAGAGGGGCCACATGGGCATTGCAGCAGCTGACATCATTCCGCAGGTCATATGTACTGTTTGCATTTAATTTCTCTAAGTGAAAGTTAATACTGAGAGATACCCTGACAGTATTACATTTCTATGTACAATTACTGCTCCACTCAGAAAGGAGGACAAGTGCTCAAATATGGACCATTGAATCCAGATCCATCTGGCTCAGATGATCATGAAACTTGGAAGGGAGAGGAGGGGGTGAAAGCAGTAGAGAAAGTTTGGTAGAAAAGGATGCACAGAGAGCTCATTGCGGGTTAGTGAACACAGACACTAAATAGGCTCCTGGAATATTTTTGTCTTTTTTTTTTTCCCTTCTGGGAAGCAATCAACACTCTTGCTTTTACTGAGATGAAGCTGGGGCACTAATGCCTTGAAGAACTGATGAGTCATATCATCATCAAAATGTACCCTGATGGCACAGTATGGTCTTTCTGATAAGACATTACTTTGCTGCAACTTAGCATCATCATATGGGAACTGGATAAATCTGACATGGAAAAGTCAGAATTCTGCAAACATAAATGTGTCTTGAGACAGCTCCTTTCAGACTGCCTCTTTCCTTCCATTTGTGTTCTTTCTTCCATAGCTGTTTTTTTTCAAAAGAAATAGTTGCCAAGTAACTTCAGTCTCTTCCATGTGCATTTCCCACATAACCTTCAGTAAGTCACACCACACAGAACAACACCATGCTTTGACATGGTACTCATGTTTCTCAAGAACAGAGAAAGCAAGACCATAATCACAGACTAAAAAGACTGCATGACCATAATATAATAGAAAATAGAGATGGATCAACAACAGCTTCCCTTCGGACTGAAGTGAAAGACTGTGGATGAACAAGAATTAAACTCAAAATTCTAAATTAGTAGCACTGAAATCTTTTGAGCTGTTATTGAGCTGATCCAGCTCAATCTGAGAGAAAGCTAGAAACATATTGTTCCTCTGATATGTCAAACCATTCCAATTCAGAATTTTATGAGAGCTGTTTTTCTCATGGAGTTTCATCAAAACTGGAACCTAATCTTAAAACAAAACTCTCCCAATCCTGAAGCTTTCCTAGGATTCATAATGAAGGAACAGGCTGAGAAGCAGGAATCTAAACCTAATCTTATAATCCCTGAGACTCAAAACCCACTTAAACATTACCATTTTGTAGCAGAAACAAACACATTTCCCAAGTAGTCAACAGTGACGTTTAAGGGGGAAGAAACACATAAACAAGCAGGTGGAAGAAATACAAAAATCTCTGTAATCTTTATCAAAACAGGAATTTGAAGAAAGGAAGAAGAGAGCTTAAATTTTAGTCTTTTCCACCTATTTCTACATAAGTGGAGCTTTGGCAAAATCATTTGGGAAGAAAGATGATAAAACCATAAGCATTTGCTGTATCAGGGAACACACACCAAAAAAAAGGACTTAGCCAACCCCTGGAACTGGAAGAACACACATCTTTCAAATGAAGATTAAATTCTATCTTTGGGGAGTAGATAGCATTAAGAGGGAAGCTAAAACCTAATATCCCTGCACTAATCATTATGGAGAACAAGATGTCAAAAACCAGATCATCTTTCAAGGAAAAGAGATCCTGTGGCAACACGAAAGGCAGCCTCAATGACTCAGGAGAGGTTTATTTAAGCAGGTAAAACAGAAGCTTAGTGAAGGGAGTTTTTAAACTGTACAACTCTCACTAGCAGTAGTGAGATTTGAGCAGCAAAAAAATAGTGTATTAGATGGAAAATGTAAAAGGACAGGAAGCAATTAAAAGATATCACAAAAAAGATAACTGCATTACTTTTGAGAAGAGGTCTATTTTCCATGGACTGGTATTGGAATATTTAATTCTGTTAGAATTATCTGACCATGCCTCAGAATGGATACCTCTAAGTGTGAGTTACTGGTATGGTTAGCCCACAATACTCAGTTTGTATGATTTTGTAATTTTTTTTCACTCAATCAAATTTAAAAGTAAATTCAGAAATTGTGTATTAACTGAAAAACATTTTTTTTCTTACTAGATCTTATTTTACGTGGATAAATTTTACACTTTTAATGGAAACAGAGAAAATTAATAAAACCCACCCAGAAAGTCAATTCCCTTGTTGTCAACTCTACACTACCACGACATGCACTGGGTTTTGACTGAAACTAAGACCAAGCATATTATTTTCTTCTTTCCTGTAGGATGCCAGGTTGGATGGGGCTTTGGGCAAAGCAGGTGTCCTTGCCCATGGCAGGGGCATTGGAACTAGATGAGCTTTGAGGTCCCTTCCAATCCAAACCATTCTATGATTCCTGGTAAGAACAGGAACCATTTGAATCTATGTGTTGACTGCTCAAGTGATCTTAGAGACACAAACACATGGAATTACCCCTTCACTGACCTGGAAGCATCTAATGGGACACAATTAAAAAAAAATATCACAAAGGAGCCAAAGAATGTTTATATTATGCCAACTTTTTTACAGAAGTTAGAAATCATATGCCATTGCAGAGGCACACAACTTTTTGAAGTGTAGTCAGTGCAACCAACACTAGCTATTTTTGATTGCTCTCCATCTAATACTGTCTTTTGTGATGATGAGCAGGACGCCTTACTTGTATATGCTGTTTAAAATACAAAAATATTCATTACATTTCAGTCAATTAAGTTTTAATTGACTTGCTTTTGAAAAAGGTTAACAGATCTACTTCTCCTTTTATTTCTCTATCTTGAAAAAAATCCAAAATACAATTTTTCAATAATCCTCTAAAATGTAATGACTAACTGTTGTCCTTGGATACATTAGCGAAGACGTTCTGTTAAAGTGGAATTGTTGCTTTGAGTGTGGTTTGACAGGGCATAGTAGAAATGACTCATCTGAAAGTATACAAATGTTTCTTTTGTGAAATTGGATCCTGCATAAATTTTTTAAAAAGTCACATAATTCTA